ATGTCTTTAATCTCGAAAACTATTGTTATTCCCTTTAAGGGTCCCTAATACTTGTCATACCACACTTGTCTCCTTGTTCACATGCACAGAAAAGAAAACATTGTGCACATGCATGAAGCTGGATAATATCAGATAGTAGTGTTTCAGTGTTGTTTACATCTTCCGAACCTGATGCAACCTTCACATAGCGAGACCAGGACCTCCTCCTCCTCCGCATGTACCATTCTCTGGATCCAACCCCATCAGCATTCCTACATCTGGGCCTCTGACAGGACCAGAGAAACAACCAGAGAAACTTGTGTGTGTGGGTGGGTTGATGAGTGGGAGGGGTATAGGTCTTAATGAGATGTTGCAGATGTCTGTAACGGTCCAGTGGACTAATCTGTTTGTGAGCGTTCCCCAGCCCCTTACACATACGTTTTTCTGATTTGATTTCATAGGTTGCTGCTGAAAGCTGGTATTGACATCAACAGATCCACCAAAGCGGGAACATCTCTGCATGAAGCTGCCCTCTACGGCAAAACCGAAGTTGTCCGTCTGCTGCTTGATGTGAGCAAAGATTCCATCAGTTCATCAACGATCTACACCACTTATATTTCAGGGTCGTGAAGAACGCAAAGACGAGACAAATAATATTTCAGTTCAGCCGATGTGGGATTTTCGAAGGCTGACAGTGATATTTTTGTATTAAAGGTGCAGCAAGACAAAGCTGAAAACTTCCCACCGCACACAGTGTTATTCTTTAATGAAGGAGGGAGGCTTTCAAGGGAGGGTTTGTTTTAAAAGTGCATCTCACCCACAGTGATCCGTGTGTGTTTGTATATTCAGGCGGGCATCAACGTGAACGTGCGCAACACCTACAACCAGACTGCTCTGGACATTGTCAACCAGTTCACCACTTCCACAGCCAGCAGGGAAATCAAACAGCTGCTCAGAGGTGAGTAGCTCTTAAACAATGTGTTTTTGATACAGTACTTGTTCTGTGAAATTTGGATTATTGGTTAAGACAGAGACAGGGAATGGCTGATAATTGGCAGAGACAAGGTGTCAGAACAGAGTAAATGATGATGATTGTGTCTTTTGATAATGACTCTATGTCTTTGTGTGTCTTTGCAGAGGCATCAAGTTCTCTACAGGTCAGGGCGCTGAAGGATTACTGGAACCTCCACGACCCCACCGCTCTTAACCTCCGGGCTGGAGACCTCATTATGGTACTTGTCTTTGTCTGTGCAGTCTATGTTTGTTGAAGCAGGTCCCTTTTTTGGCTGGCAACAGGAGGGTCACTCTGCAGCACTCTTGTTTTTGCTTGATGAGTTTTGCCTCAGCAGAACAGTGGCTCCTTACCTACTTTCTTTATTTGTAAAGCAGAAATATATTGTAGCACTGAGACATTAAGTAGGAGACCAGATGGCAGTTAAATTGATATGCTGTGCACAATTTCTCAGCGGTATTGGAAGATCACTCAGGCAGAACCCAATAACATGAGTAACACAAACAATTTTAGATATTAGATATTAGAGTAAAACCAGAGAATTAGGTCTGGACTTTCTGCAGAGTTTGTCTTTCACACATTCACAACTCTGCAAGAGATTCTCTTCTCAGATGCGTTCACAACAACACAGGCGAGGGCCGGGGCAGCAGTCGGAGGCAGAATATAACGTATAAACTCCGCTGCAGAGATCATGTGTTATTCTTTACAGCAATAACAGCAATTCCATTGAGCTCAACTGTAAACTATTGATGTGAAAGAGGAATCATTCTGTCGTTATGGGCAGAAGTCAACAGCACCTTCCAGAAACCTATGCCACACAAGTTGTGAAAGGGGTCGAACACGTGAGCTGTCAAAATTACAGAGGATCACATAATGTGTGTTCTGAGTCATTGTGAACAAAACACATCTATTTAAAGCGATAGAAAAGAGAACAGAAAGTTTCAAAAAAATTGCCAGTTTGCTCTTGATGTTTCAGGTTAAGAGGTTTAAAATCATAAGGCATAATTTCTGTCAACGTTTGTTAGGGAATTGCCACAACACTGATGATTTACAGATCTACAAAGCTCTATTTGTAGGAGTTAGAATTGCATAATTGTAAACCGTATGTGTAATGTCCTTGGATGTGTTTCTTGGCAGCTGCTGTAAAATGAATTGGGTTGAAATTCACTCTCTACCTTGTTGCGGCTGCTTCTGTTGGTGGCAGGGGAATCACAGGCAGCCTGAGGATTATATGATGCAGACTTTGTTGTTGTGGATTCGTGTGGGATGTTGCAGGATCCTTTCGTGTACCCTGAGCAGGAGAACACAGCAGTGAAACAGGCACAAACTTGTTGCTGTCATTCTCTCATTACCAATGTTGTTTGCTCGCCCCCTCCACACACACACATGCATGAGTTTTGTTCATAATGTGTGTGAACATTTGTGTGTTTACATGCTTACCGATGTGTATTTTGATATCTTGATACAAGTCATTGTAACAACCCTGACTCCTGTGTGAACTTGTGCGTTGTGCAGTATTGTGTGAGAAGGGAGGCAGAGGTGGCCTTTTGTTAACACTCACAATGAATTTAATCTGTATTCTCATTGGCTCTCTCATTATGGTTGTAGAAGCATGCCTGGAAGAGTCACACACGATTTAAAGTCAACTTAAGTTAACTTAAAGGTCCAGTGTGTAAGATTTAGGTGAAAGGGATCTATTGGCAGAAATTTAATGTAAAATAATCCTAGTGATGTTTTCACTAGTGTGTTTCATCTACATTGTACAATTGTAGTTTTCTTTACCCTTTATATTTAAATACTTCATATTTACATCAGGAGCGGGTCCTCTCTATGGAGGCCGCCATGTTTTTACAGTAGCACAAACAAATTACAAACCTTTTGATTTTTATGACAACTGAAGCTACCACAGGTTCTTTTTCATGTTTGGAAGGAGAGGGTGAGGTGAGGGGTGTTCAGCTGCAACATGTAACTTCAACACTAGATATCACTAAATTCCACACACTGTACCTTTAAGAGTTGATGCACAGTTGACAAAGGGAGAATGTTTAAAAATCTGCCTTTGACAATAATTAAGGGCCTGCTTTTTGTCATGTTAATTATCTAATAGTTGCTATTGAATTGTTGTGCAGTGATTGTTCTATATGTTCTATATCTAGTCATTGTACAGTGTTGCAACACACACATGTCTCAGCTGATGCTCATGAATTGTTGGTGTCAGGTCGTGGAGCAGCACTCCGACGGCCGGTGGAAAGGTCAAATCCATGACTCGCAGCGAGGGACGGACCGGGTGGGCTTCTTCCCACCTTCAGTGGTGGAGGTCCTCAGCAGACGAGCAGGTAGACAAACAACAACACACACGCACACAGACAGCTGTAGTTAGTAGTTCCTTTGATAGTTAAAATGTCACTTTCACAACACCAGCTGCAACACTGTACTTAATGGGCAATAATGCTGGCTTAAAAGTCCAGTGTGTAAGATTTAGGTGAAAGGGATCTATTGGCAGAAATTTATTGTAGAATAATTCTCATGATGTTTTCACTAGTTCATTTCATCTAAATTGGATGAATTGTAGTTTTCTTTACCCCAGAAAAGGCCCTTTATATTTAAATACTTTATATTTACATTGAGGGGGTCCTCTCTACAGAGGCAGCCATGTTTTTTACATTAGTCCAGACTGAACAAACTAAACACCTTTTGAGTTTTTATGACAACTGAAGCTACCACAGGTTATTTTTCATGTTTGGAATGAGAGGGTGAGGTGAGGGGTGTTCAGCTGCAACATGCAGTTTCAACACTAGATATCACTAAATTCTACACACTGTACCTTTAAGACATGCACTGTACTCTGGACATTCTCCTAAAATTATCTGGAGGGGCTGTATGTGAGAACACAAAAGTCAGTTGCTCCTGATATTCTCTCGAGTTTTCCCTGGCAGGACTCTGGTAAAATTTCCTAGTGTGCACATGTGAGAATATAGCAAGAAACTGTCAGAAGAATTTATGGTGATAGCGTTTTTTAACACATGACGGATGTGAAAACAAAAACCCCCCACAAAAGAAATAAAAGATGTCTTCAGACGTAAAAGAGGTTGGAAGATGAAGAAGAACCAATAAATACATAAGCCAAGCCTGTCCATCACAGCCATGGCCTGCCCCTGATTGAGGAGAGTGGGGATATGGGGGTCAGCCTACTCAACTTGTGCAATCAAGCCCAGTCAATCCAGGGGTGGGCCCTAACCATGGATCCTAGGGCTGCCCAGAGAATCCTCAAATGGGGGTCAGCTTCCTTTAATAACTGTTAGAGCTGATAAAGAACCTATTAAACCAACATTTATGATAGCTGATACTGGAGCTACTTAAATATGTCTAAGTCCAAAACATGCCACAGACTTCCCTTTGTCTGATAAATTTGTCAAGACAGTAGGACTCTCGGGACGAAGACAAATGATATCAATGGCAGCTCCAGTCTGGCTATCAATTGAAGGCGGTGAAGCAATACTGCCTATTTAGGTGTCTGATCAAACTCCAGTAAATTTGTTAGGAAAATCTTTAGGCTACCAGGTATAAACACATTGGTATTTCAAAGCATATAGTGTACGTTCCCCTGAATGCAACCTATTTCCAATCATGTGCTTTTCAGCCTAAAAATATATCCACCATATATGGACACCACAGCAGGTGTTCATATGCTTAACGCAATAATATACTCCATAAATCAAAATGTTCGGATGTGGAGAAAATGAGGACTCCACTCCACAGCAGCTGCAGCTGACAAAATACTTTGTTGCTTGGCAACACAGTAGTCGCTTCCTTCGTGAAAAGAGTTACAACAATCCGTTGTGTCGCACATACCTGTCTGAACGTCACTCACCCTCCACCATCTATATTCTATGGCCCACTACTCTGCTTCCTCACGTTTCAAACACTGAGCTGAATGTGCTCTGCAGTCACAGCAGGGAGGGTCAAAACCAGCAGAGAGATGCTGCACGCCCCACTGATGGAGCCACCATCAGTATTTTAGTATTAGCCAGCCCCAGCATGCTCCTACTGACCACTCAACAAGGCAGGTGTGTTCCATTTGGGATACTTCACATAGTTGCTGGGTGATATTAAAAATACTATGAAAAACTACTTTGTTAAAGATAATCGTGGCACTCAGGCCTAGGGCTAAATTAGACTTGCTCAGTGGGGGTGTTGAGCTGACATGGCTAACTTGACCCAGGTCAATAGTTATATCTGGGCTAAGAATATACTGTATCTCGCCACTTGTACACCAGTGCTATGTGTCATGTTGGCATGCGTGATCACTGGAGGGTTCAGCGTGCTTGTAAATCATCCGATTGAATCCCTCTGAATAAAAGGAATATGAGCCCTATGTTTGTTTTGCAGCTGTAAAGTCATTGACATTTAAACTGTGGGACAAGCATAGTGAGGGCTTCAGTAACGGCAACAGACAGACAGACACACACACACACACACATTCACACACACATGCACATGATAAATCACTTCTAGGTCCTCAACATCCAGGCAACACACACACACACACACATAGTAGACACTCACACACATTAATAGGATTACTATGGCCAGATTGCCGAGTGTCAGCTCAGTGCTAAAGCCCTCACAGTCTACATTGGGATATTATGTGCTCTCTGTGTGTGTGTGTGTGTGGGTGTGTGGGTGTGTGTGTGTGTGTGTGTGTGTGTGCGCTCATGCTTGCGGGAGAAGAGACAAGAGAAAGAGAGTTTGACTTACTCTTTGCTTATGAGGCAAACTTAGAACTGTGTGTGTGCGTGTCTGTGTGTGTGTGTGTGTGTGTGTGTGTGTGTGCGTGTCTGTGTGTGCGTGCCTGAGCTCTGTGATAATGTCAGTGGTGTCAGCAGCCGTAGACCAACAACAAAGTAAGCCCTCTCTGTGTCGCTGGTGATCTTACACTCTCTTTCAGCAGCTTCTTATGTAACACCAGAGAGGATTTACAGTGAATTGCCCTTTTTCGGCTGTTGTTCCATGTACTCAACAAACAAGAACACACGATAGAGTTCATTGTGTGGTCTCCAGACTTCAGTGAAGGTTCCCACACCTATGCATACGGGCCAAACTGACACGCACACGCATGTTCATGATCCACTTTCCCTCACTCATGCATGTCCACCTCAAGCCAAACCTGTCTCCCTGACCCATAGGGGGCACTCTCACCCGCCAAGCATCACTGCCTTGCCACCGACAACACTTTGCGTCCAGAGCTCTGCCCTCAAGCCACGGCTCCACCCTTCAGCCTGACGACTCATTCACTCTTGGCTATGATCCCGCAGGTACACACACACACACACACACACACACACACACACACATACAAACCCAAACGCTCAGCACCTGTTTTTGTTTCTTTTCACCGTCATGCCCTTCCATTTTTCACATTTTCCTTCCAAACAGCCCCCCCCCCGATCTTAGCTTCCTCTCCATCAGTCCTGTGGTGAGCTTCATAGATCCACTCCCGGGTCTACAGTGAGCGTGGGGTAACCTGAGTGTGCACCTAAAGTGTGTGTGTGTTTGTTAGGTGTGCCACCTGGCAGTCAGCTCTCAGCCCCAGGTAGTCCTGGTAGCCCCACTCAGGACATTTGGGTCCTCAGGAGCTCCCCCAATGGTAAGAGTGTGTGGCCCCAAACAACCCTGCAATCCCCCCAAAACCCTGACCCTGTGTGAACCTGACCAGCTTCAGTCCCCGCCGTTCTGATTAACAGGGCTGCTTTAAGGAAGCTTATTCCCATCTTTATCCTTTTATATCCCAAAGTCTTGACCTTATGATGTCACCCTGCAAATCCCCACCCTGACACCACCCCTCCCGCACTCCCAGCACCACCCTTGCCACCTACACCCTCAGTAATCCAGTTACCATAACCATAGGTGTTTTCTTGCAGCAGGACATAATGGTAAGTGACCAGTATTCCTTTAGAGCCTTTTCTTGACTTCTGTGTTACTTCTGATGTACTGGTATCATAAGTACATTTTTTGCCTGTGTGCCTCTCTCCACCATGAAGTATTTAATGATAATTTCATACAGTGGTAAGTCACAAAATGTATGTTTTATTTATTTGCATTTTTACTTTAATAATGAAAGAAATAATGCAACATCTGGTTCCTAATAAATATTAGTTCATTTAAAAGGGGCAATATGTAAATATTTCAGTCAAAAATAAATTGACAAATAACAGAATGTGAAGAAAATCAGTGTGGACGTCTCGTCTTGCAGAGACGTGTCTACTAGTTATTGTGAACGGTCCTGTAATACCACCTCACCTCAAGAGGTGCTGGTGAGTCATTGTGGTTAGTGACGTGACATTCCACTGGTTTTCTTTACGAGAACTGTAGATACCAAGTAAAACCAAGGGGGGTATAGCCAATACAAATATTATAAGGAAACATTGTGCAAAATATTAATGTATTAAAGTGAAATAAAAAAGTAGGTTAATTTAGAATATACCTACATAATGACACTAAGACAGAGATTACTCTTTCTTATTCTTTAATCTACCTACTAATGTCTGTGCCTGCCTCTAGGTTTGTATGTGGAAGGCATACCTCGCCAATTCACTATATTCAATATTATTAAACTTTGAATAAACATTACAGTTACATGAGGTCAAAATTTCTTGCTGTGCCGGATGAATTGTTGTGCGTCATACACCAGCAGAAATGTCAAATAGTTCTGTTTACATTTCTCAAACACTTCTATAGTTGTTGCCTCTTTTTGGACTTTGGACAGAGTGATGCTAAATGTTTGCACCTGCCCTCAGGCTAAGCTAAAATAAACTGATTGCCTCCCAGCCTTTGGCCCCATAGGTGCTCACACACACAATCAATCTTTTCTTCTATCTCTCGGAAAGAAAGGTAGTAAGTGTAATTCCTAAAATTTCAAGGTGTGAGTCAGACTTGCTAATGTTTTTTTTTGCAGAGTTTTGTCAGTGAATAACAAGCTACAGTCAGGCTCTCTCTCAACTTCTTACCTCTCTCTGTTTTCTGTTTCCTCTCTCGTGTCTCTCTCAGGCGACAGGCACAGTGTCGGCAGTGCCGGCAGTGTGGGCAGCAGTCGCAGCGCCGGTAGTGGCCAGAGCTCGGAAAGCAGCCACAAACAGAACGGGACTCGCCACAATGCTGACACTGGCAAGGTATTGGCATGACCTGCAAACAAGATCAAGCAATACATTAGTTTACCCTAACACCATAATACACTCTGCATGTCGGATGTTGGTCCTTAGAAAAATGTGATAATTTAATCTTGAATTCGCTCCATCACAAGTCTTCAAATGCACTTTTGCTCGTTGTAAAAATGTCCTAAAACTCAGTTGTATTAAGTTGAAACATGAAAGATTCTTTTCACTAGTATAAAGCAGTGATTTTTCAAAATAATGGATGAATATCCGCTTGCCTATGTGGATATTTTCAATCGTTCACCTTTATGCCAACACCCTCCATGTTTTCTGTATGCAGCTGACTCCCTCTGCTGGTGAATCAGGAGACCACATCCACATTGCAGGAGCAGATCGCAGCAAACAGGTTGATGGATCTGCAGGTAAGTGACGGGAAGAAATATCAGTTATTTTCTCCCTCTGTGTGATAAAAACACTGTTTATTCAGATGATATGTGTTTTGTCTGTCTAGATTCCTCTCTAGAAAAAAAAAACCTGACAAAAGTGTTTTAGAAGGGGAAAAATTCTGTGGTGGGAATTAATCTCGAGATGTGAAATGAAGAGTTTGTCAGACTGGAGTTATCTTTGGGTCTTAAGAGAGCTCTGCAGAGGGTTTCACAATCAGCATGAATGCTCAGAGTGAAACACCTCGAATAGTGAAAGAAGAAGGTTTTTATACAGTCGAGAACAGGAAACATAAGAGACAACTGTTTCTGAGAAATAGCATGAAAACTGAAGCCACCTGCAGTCTGGTTGATACAGGAAGCTGTCTGCTCTTGCTTCTGTTTGAAAGAAGAAGTTTGCTAGCTGCACAGATCAGGGTCGACAAGAGGATCATCATCAAGAAAGGGCATGCACTCTGAGGTTACATCAGCCAAGTGCATAGGAACACTCAGAGCATTTGTTAGTTAAAGGTAAAAAAGAAGAAAAGGCATCTGTCTGCACCAGGCAGTTCCTCTTATGCGAGCACAACTGTTTCTATATGAGTTACTGTTGAACACAGCACACAAGACTTGATCAGACATAGGAAACAGTTCAAGCTAAAGTCATATGCAATGTTCCATTAGAATACACTACAATATTTGTTGTGTAACCTGTAGTATGTAGGTTATACATTCTGAACAATTACTATATCTTCTTAAAAAAGTGTCACGTTCCCATGATGCCACATTGAGCATTATCACTTTGCCACCGGTGCCTGTGAAGCATCTCTATGACTCATGCAGTGAAAAGCTGAGGAGGGAGACCTTGGTGTGCTGCACTTAAACAGAGCAGGGGAAGGTTTCAAGGGTGAAGACAGGGGTTGGTTTGATGAATTAAAATGTGCTAAACGTCCCCACCTCCTCTGATCATGTGCAGCACTCAGCTCTCTCATCCAGAGACGTTTTTTTTGGTTTAGCTGCCTTTGCAGAAAGTGCAGGAGACCTGAGCTTTGAACCTTTTTGGATGCTATAAACTCAAGAGACTGGTGCCCAATGTTTTTCATACAGTATATCATCTATTTTTGAAATTTAAAATTAGAAGTTTATTGAAAATAATTTATATCATCCACATCTTCTTGAAAAATGACTTTTAAATTACAGATTCCAGCGTTTTCTCTGTAATCTGTCACTGGCATTTGTTTTGTAAGAGTTTGACTTCATTCTCAAAGTATTCCGTTTCTGTTTACTTTCTTACAAATGTTTGATTTATTACAACTTTAGTGCTTTGTTTTTAAATGTGACTTTTTTTCCAGTTTTCTTTACTACCATGACTTCAGTTAATTATAATTTATTTTCTTTAAACGCTCTGACTTTCTGTTCTCGAATTCTCAGACATTTTTCCCACTTGTCTTCATCATCCAGTCTTCCTCTCATTTTCATTCTGAAAGGTTAAAACATTGAGTTCTATCTTGAAATCATGACAGTGCAAAATATAATGATCAGAAGGACAGCATACATTTCATTTTGTTAAACTAGGATGCACTTTTCGGTTTGAGGTTTACTTTGTGGTGAGCAGCTCGATCTTGAACATCACTTCACCTGAGGAATGCAGTGAAAGACAAGTGCATTTGTTCTGCAGATTGAGTTGTTACTGGCTTCTGACTGAAAGGAAATGAAATGGAGGGAGAGAGAATGGACTTAACCTCACGTCAGCACAGACACTATTAAAACCACAGGTCTCTCTCAGTGACGCTGCCCACCTTTCTGAGGAAACACTACAAACAAGTAAACACTGGTGTTCTCCTTATTCAAGCCTTGATTTCTGCTGAGAGGAGGCTTTGCAAACATTCAAAAATGACTAGTTGGAGCCAAAGGTCACTGCTGACCTCGGGGTGAATGTAGGACGGAGGCTTGAAGGAGAGAAGAAGAGAAATTAGGAGGGGTGGGTCAGAGGGAGGAGACACGAACAGAAGCAAAAGAAGCTGTTAAACGAAGGAGAAGGACAGAAAACAAGAGCAGTTTAAACTTGAGGAAGTGTGTGAGGTATATGTGGGAGAAAAGGAGGCAGGATGAAGTGCCATTTATCAGGAGCTCTGCCACTCTTCTTCTTCCTGAAGGGTGAGAAGTCATGTTCTGATTTGATGAGATATCTCATATTATTCTCAGGGGAAGATAACAATTTGTTTTTGTTACAGTTTTAGGACTAAGGGGAAACGGTGAAGATGAAACTCAGTGTTCCGAGCTTCAGGGTAGAATTTAATAGGATCTGTCTTCTGGTTGAAAATGAAATAATTACAGGCTCATTTTCTGAATTTTATTTATACATTGTTATATATATATATATATTGACATAAGTCGAGCATACACACTTGAATGTTTCCTCTCTGTATCGGGCGTTGTGAAGAGGAGACTCTCTCCTCAACCCAGAAGTTTATGAAGTTTTGTTTCTCACCCTGAGGACAAATACCTCTCTTCATTAGATGCTGTTTGACCTACGCTGTGCGAGTATAATTCCAGAACTAGCAGCAAAACTGAGACAAGAATGTGCTCGAGTGTTGTTCGCCAAGACATTCTCCATGAGGGGATAACAAAGAGCAGCAGCAGCATCTAATTGTACAAAGCAGATAATGAGGAAAATACAAACAATGAAAGTAATAATTTTAAACTCATCTCTTCAGTGGAATGATTGATGTAATAACCTTGCCATCAATGCAGTTATACTTATAATTTGATTATTTTTATTTGACCAGTCATTGACACATTCATACCTGGAGTAGGCAGGTGCTGATCTACGTCATCACAACAGCATTTATAGAAACCCTTCCTCTTTTTAGTCTACGAAGTAAAAGCACAATGTTAATTTAGTTGCTGCAATGCTTTTTATTGAGCTGAACTACAGAGCTTTTGAAAAGTTGTGAACTTGGGTCTGAAGATTGTATCGATTGCTCAACAGATCTCTGAAATAAACTACATGCAATTCACTCTGCACCATAGACTGGTTATGAAAAGCTCTGCACACAAACGTGCAGGACACGAACAAGAGAACGTGTCAGTATATTGTAGAACTGTTTGAGGAGGATTCACTAATGACAAGGGACATTTCTGAGGCGTCTCTGGAGCATTAACACAAGACAAGAGACGGAACATTCCAAACAGGCAGGTTTAGAACAGACTCTGCACTCATTCAGTCAAACAACGTAATGTGGGGTTTTACTGTGAAAGCACTGTAGCTCCTCCTAAAACAACAAATGCATTTCTTAGTGATCACATGTTGAACAAGCAACACACTGAACTATTTTAGAACTGGACAACGTCAGTCTTACTGTTTCGACTCTTCATTCTAAGCCAAGTTAATAGCGTCTTGATTCTCTCTCTGTCCTTCACAAAAATGAACCAATGAAATGTGTATTTCCTTAAATAATAATAATATAGCACTTTTCAAAACAGAATCATTAAAAGCCTCACAGAATAAAATCAGAGCACACAGTAAATATAAAAAAATATATAACGTGAAAAATAGTGCATACATTCAAGATAAAAACCGCAAAAACATGTAAAACCAACATGGAAGATGAATGTGGAATTATGACATTACAATTTCTGTGATCAAAAACGTCAGTCAAAGAAAACGATCTTATCTTGCCTAATTTTTATTTCAACAGGTTTTGAGGAAGCAGAGTCCCAAAAATCGAATTATATGAAATATATTATATACACACACACTCACATAGAGAATGGTGTGATCCAACCATTTCCTTGAACAAAAGCAAAGGAATGAAAGAGAAAATGGTGGAATTCCTCAGAGATGTGTGGTTATGTGTCCTGACTGAGAGATGAGTCATGAGTGTGTTCAGGTAGATAACACAACTTAAGACCCCTGTGGAGACCTAAAACACACACACACACACGTGCTGTATGTTTTTGTATTACTTCACTACTTTTGCGTGTGACATGTTAATTAAGTCTTTGCTCTGCCAACAGTGTCGACTTGGTCCCTTCACTAAATAAAGCATCTGTCGGCGTGTAGGATTGATCATGTGTGTTTTTCAGGTGGCTCCCGCCGGCAGGTCAATGGCACTCCTCAGAAAGGCTTCGTCCGACCAGAGCACCTTCTGGAGGGCAAGGTGAGCTGAGTAAAGTTTAGTGTGTGTGTGTGTGTGTG